TCTTGTCACACCTTCAAAAATGTTTCCGGGTTCCAAGCACTGCTCCCTACCTACGGGGCTCCTGCCTTGTTCCCCGCCACCACAGGGGCTCCTGCCTTGTTCCCCGCCACCACAGCTTCCCGCGCACATAACTGCAGTCTTCCCGGCCTCCTCCTCGTCTGATCTTAAGACAGCTGTCACAGTCGTCTTTTGAAAATATGTCTTCTCGTGTCAGTGGGTACAGCCAACACAGAGGATGGAGGTGGGGGAGACGAGGCTGCAGGGGAGATGATGCAAAGTGCTTGCACGTTGAACTCTGGGGAGCCCCTGAAACCGTGAAGTCAGTGGGCGGGCAGGATCGGGGTTCTGTTTGGGGAAGAAGGCCCTGCCAGGAAGGGCTGGAGGCAGGGGCGTCTTGGGGGGGGGGCGTGGGGGGGTCTGGGTGGGAAGCACTGAGCGCCGGGGGCGCCCGGGATGAGGGGGATGAGGTGTGGTTGCAGAGCGGGGATGCCGTCAGAGGTTATTGACAACGATGTCGGCCGACTCCTGTCTTTCCCACGCCGCTGGCCATCTGTCGAGTCAGCGTAGCCTTTGGTCTCGATTTTCTAAATAGATCCTGAATCCAACTCACTTTCTCGCTGCCCCGAGCTCGGTCTCTCTGGGTGATGGCAGCGGCCCCTGCCTGTCTCCCTGCGCCCACTCGGCGGGCAGGAGGAGCTCTTAAAAGTCCTCCTCATCCCACTTCGCATACAATTCGGAGTCCAAACAAAGTCAAAGTGAGTGCGCTCTGACGCGGGGACCGCCTGGTGCATTTGGGCTCCAGAGGGTTCCCAGGGGCTGGATTTTCGGGGGTAGATCGCCAGACCTTTCGTCCGAGGTGCCTGGGGTGAGCTCCAATACCCAACCTTGAGGTCAGCATTAACTGGCGGTGCAGGCACTTCTCCTGGGCGACAAGGTCACCGCGGCCCCACACGCCGGGACTTCTCCGCAGTCTTCTCGGGCCCGCTCCTGCTGGCGAGCCGTGCTAGGTCACCGCAATGGTTCGCACCTGGAGCTCACCGAACACCTTACGAACACGGTGCCGGCCCCAGGCCTTCAGCTGTGCTCCGCCCGCAAGTGCGCATGCCGCGCTCATCTCCTCGGAGAGTCTGTCTTTAACACACCGTTATACAAAGGAGCCAAGGGTGGTCTGTAATCAGTTTGCACTCGGATACTAATAGAAAACTTGGCCGTGAGGATGTGTCCAGTGGTACCACGGAAGGAAGGCCTGGCAGCCAGCGGCCAGGCTTCCACGAAGATCACACCTTAGAAGATCCTCAGGAGCAGCTCCCGTCTGTACCACTGCGAGCCAGAATCAACTCGACAGCGACTGACGCCACAAAGGAGCCAAGGGTGACCCCCGGGTACTGGCCCCAGGTTGGTTTCCTCTTCGGAGCCAGCCAAGGCCTATTTGCCATACAGTGAACCCTCGCCACTTCGTGCTTCGACTTCCGCGGCTTCACTCTATCGCGGTTTTTGCGTAACAGCGCATGCTCTGTCATTACTGCCACTGATTGGCTCATACTGTACACGCTTCTGTCTGCATCGCTACATATTGGAGCTACGTATCAGATGCATTTTTGCTTTTGTACAGTGTACTGTAATTGTTTGCGATTTTAAAGAAATTTTATCTAAGCCCTTTGATGGCTCCTAAACGAGCTGCTTCTTCTAAGCCTTCTGACAATAAAAATAAGCGCCAGAGGAAGATGCTCACCATCCAGGAAAAGGTAAAACTTTTGGATATAAGGAATCCTACTTCGCGGAATTTCATTTATCACGGTAGGGTCTAGAACCGATTAACCACGATAAACGAGGGTTCACTGTACACAAATGTGGGCACATACGATTAATTCAAAAGGAACCCCAAGAAGCAGAGTTTCAGCTACTGAGAGTCTAATCACCCACCATGAAACCGCCCATCTGCTGATCGGAGATGAAAACCTGCAGTTGCAAAGTGCTACTGTCCTTCTTGTCCTGAGAATGCCCACCTCACCTTGCAGAAGACCTGGATAAACCCCTCCCTTCTCCCCCCACCCTTGTGGCTCTCCATGCCACCCACCTCTGGAAGACCTCCTGCTGGTGAAGACCCCTTCCTGGTGGCGGGTGGCGGGCAGAGGGCAATGCAGCCAGCACAGTCGACAGCTTGCTGGACAAAGCTGCTTTCTCCAGGTCCATGGGCTTTTCCTTGGTCAGCCTGGGCTCCCACAAACTCATCAGAGCACTCACGCCCCTGCCGTGGCCTTTCTCCTGACCTTGCATGGACGTCTTAGCATTTGTCCTGTTGTATTTATTAACTCTTTCTTTTCCTAACCCCCAACCCTCAACCAGAACACAGGCTCCGTGAGGGTGGTGGCTGGGTCATTCTGTTCCCTACCGTGTCCCGAGGGCCTAGAGCAGCACCTGGTACCTAGAAGGTGCTCAGTGAGTATTTGTTGGATGACTGAGTGAGGGGTGATCAATGGGAAGTGCTAATGGTGAGAGAGATGTAGAAGGTAAGAAGGTCTTTTTGCTCCTAGCAGTAGAGAGTCCTCCTTGTGTGGACAGCGCTAGACTGAATTGTCTGAGAATTACAGCAGGTGGAGGAGACAAGACCCGGCTCTATGGTGTGTGCATGCCTCAGCACCTCAAGACATCTTCCTGTGCCAGTGGGATTTTGGCGATCTCAAATAGGTTTTCATCACCTTCACTTAAACACAGGGATGTGGCGCTGCATCTTGGCCGCGGGGAGTAGGCATCAGGACGTAGAACTAACAAGGGCTGGAGCGGATGGTTGAGGAGATGTGGATTGGTGCCCGGCCACGTGGACACTGGGCTCCAGTGGGTTGGGAGCCAGAGCACCCACATGTGGCGGCCTGGGGGACTCAGCTAGTAGATACATGGAGAGCTTCCCAACCCAGATGCTACTGGAAAAACTTGTGGTTATCCTGGTTTGATGTCATCCTGGTGAAGTGGAAAAGCATCAAAAGTACTGAGTCCAGTCCTAATCCAGCTGGGGGACTTCGAGCAAGCCATTAATCTCCTAGAGAACGGTGATAATGAACCTGTGTCCTCTGTGAGTCTGTGATTCTGGCAATGATCGGTGGCACTGACCCCCCTGCCATTGTCTTAAGAAATTGGAGCAGGACTGTTTGCAGATACACCCC